TCTGTCTCCTCTCCACCAATAAGCTGGTGTGTGGTGGGCGTTCTGGCGCACTATGGCTGCCGTCGCATCATCCAGGTGGATGCTGCACACTGGTGGTGGATGAGGAGATACCCCCTGACAATGTAAAGCGCTTTGAGTGCCTAGAAAAGCGCTATATAAATGTAATGAATTATTATTATTATTATTTTCATATTTGTCTTGACAACAACATGTGATCAACATGAATAATAGTTATTAAACTTTTTTTATATTTCTTAAACAAAAATGTAAATATTAAATAAAAGTTTGTTTTATTTTTATTTGTTTATTTTCCTGCTATAAAGACTTTTATAATATAGATGTGTAATTATTATAGAATTCATTATGCTAAATTATGCATAATCATTTATAACAGTAAGTTTTAATACTTATTTTATATTTTAAGAAATAAATATATTAAAAAAAAGTATTGAAAGTTTTATAGATTTTTATTATATGGGCTTTGGGACGTGAGATCTTTAACCTAACAGGTCTCTTATGTCCTGAGCATATGTGCTGTCCATTGCACAAATGATTTTATTGTACCACTAGGAGGTCTTATGTGGAGACTGTGTTTGAGAGTCAACTGTGATTACTGCCTTCGAGTCATAATCACTGCACACAGCCTCTTTATAATCAGTATAATCAGTACTTGATGTGTCAGTAATGTAATGATGATTGTAATGGGAGGATACAAGACCAGACGCAAGGGGTCAGAGGACGCAGACCATGTCTTCACTGTAATAGTGTAGTTCAAGAAACAACCTACACTGCTGGACAAACACAAATATGGGGAGGGAAAGCTCAGTCAGGCTTAATTTCCTGTGGCATTTCAGATTTTGAAGGAGGGCTGCTGTGCACATTCACAGCTCATGTTACGGATAAAAAGTCAGTGCACTCTGAGAGCAGCAGGGGTAACCTTTCATTCTGATGCCATTAGTGAGAAATTAAGAGGGTCGGATGTGGCACTCAACGGGTCAGTGGGAAACACAGTGGGAAAAATCTTCAAAAATAGCTCAGCTCACTTTACTTTCTGACTGTGGTTCTGCAAAAGCTTCTGGTTGACGTGGGGTTTAGGGCTGCATGATTCTTGCTAAAATGTGAATCACAATTTTTCTCCATGGGAATTGAGATCACTATTCTCATTTTTTCAACCAAAACATTTATTGCACTCAAAAAAAAAAAAAAAAAAAAGCACAGGACTTTCAGTTATAATAAAGTGCTGCTATTGTTGAAGGTGGTGAATGAGTGTTACATAACCAGTGCTTTGATGGCTGTAGCTGCGCTGATTTAGAGGGGATGAGTTTAGAGATTCAACTTCTCAGAGAGAGGTTACCAAGCCTTAAAACACATTAAAACACAGTACAGTGTTGCTAAAAAGCTGCCTCTTTGAATCTCTAAGGATGCACTTTTACTCTGAAGTCTGGCTGGATGTCAGTATACCAAAACCAAATCTATTTTTCTCTCTTTCTTCCTCTCAGTTGTGTACGAGCATCGCTCCAGGTTGGAGAAGTCTCTTCAGAAGGAGCGTCTGGAGCATAAAAAATCCAAAGACGGCAAGTTTGTTTATAATATATGACAACATCAGTGACTAATAGATGAAGAGGAAATTATGAAGTGTAATGACATCCTGTAGCTTGCATTATGTATAAACTGGTGCAGCCCAAAGCCGCTATGTTATGCCAAGTGTCAAGTTAATAAGATCCTAAGAGCATTTGGACACTTTTATGCTAAACTGAAAATGCATGACTGTCATTGCAGTAGGAATAAAATAACATGCGATAGCATAAACAATATTGCATTTGTCTCAGCTGTAATACTTGTTTTTGCTTTTTCCTCACAGATTATCTTGGGTATAAAATAGAGGCTCAGCAGTCTCTCAACCAAGAAAAGGTATGTTGTTTTGAGATCTACGGCATAAAGGATGATTTACATTGAGTAAAAACTTGAATTGTGAAATGCAGGAGAAGCTTTGCACTGCAGTAAAATGCTCATCTGGTTGTTTGTATGAGAATGACTCATATGTTTCTCGAATATCATGGCCTGTGGCTCTCTGGCATGGCATTTAGATGCGCAATGATGCCATGCATACAAAATGACAAAGTCTGTTTGTATTTGTTTGTTTACAGCAAGATTCCAGCGTCAGGTTTAATTCTCTGCACTCCCAGCATCAGATTTTGAAGGTCAGTGGGAAAAACACATCTACATGCTTGTTTTCAAAAATGATGTTTGTGATGTACTGTAAAATATGCATGTCTTTTCTTCCCACAGCAAACACAAATAATTCACTGTTGTGTGTGTGTGTGTGTGTGTGTGTGTGTGTGTTTACCATCAGAACCAGCACGACGAACTAAAAAAGCAGTATTATGAGCTACAAGAGCAACATCAGCTGCAAGAAGATGAACACAACAAGGCATTAGATGAACATAAACAGAGACTCGACCAGCTTCATCAGACTAAAGAGTCGGAGATTTCTAAGTTCAAAGGTATTACATTCTCACCATCTTTCTCTTAGCAGTCACATAGCAACACCCTTGCATCCGTCAACTAAAAGACTCATGGTGGTGTGTTTTGCACAGGCAAGGAATGTGAACATTTATTTGGACCTGTGCATCCCATAGTCATTTTTCAAACCGCCTGGAGTCTGTATGGTGGAATTACAAGCTGTGGTCATTTCAGCTGACTCTCTTTTTCTCTTTTCTTCTCCAGAAAATATATTGAACCTACGTGAGGAGAACAAGCAGCTGAGAAAAGCTCATCAGGAAGTCTATGTGCATCTCCAGGACACCAGGGTAATGCAAAAGCACTATGGGTTTTGTTTTATACTAGCACAATGCTTCAGCTCTAAAGTAAAAGCTCCATCTTTTTAGAGCAATAGTACAAAATATGTGTTATGGTTATTAGTATAATTAAGCCATTGTTAGTGGTACCTTTTGCCACAGATGAATGGGTGAATCTTGTAAAGTCAAGATATGTCTATTATGGCAGCCCTAAAATTCACCAAAAATAAATACAAATTAAATAAAATAAAGAGAATGAATGAATGAATGAATGAATAAATAAATACATAAATGAAAGTTAGAAAATATAGTTTGCATGAAGACACTGAATTCTTTTAGAAGACTATTAGTATTTTTTAATTTTTGATGTCAATAAAATGCACATTCAAAGCATGTCGATATAAAAGTACATAGTTTTATTTCTTTATTACTGTATATTTAATTAAAGTGTTTTTTATATAAATATAATGTAAAATAAATAAATATATTTATTTTTTTTAAATATTTTTAATTAATTCAGCACAGCAGATGTTACAATGATGTATTTGTTACTGTGCTTATAATTTAAAATGTACAATTATTACAATTACAATTTAAATAATATTTGATTATTTTAAAACATTACAAATTAGGGAGGAATTGTGCCTAATTGTTATGATTATGAAATAATTTCACATTGCAAAAATTAAAAATCCGACTTTTTTTCTTTATGCAAAATATATACATGCATATATTTTTCTTTTGATTTTTGGGTGAAATTAGCCGCAAATGTTTAGAAAATTTAGCATGAAATTCACCCAATTAGAACTTATATTTAGCCATGATCCTTGGTTTCTTGATCCATCTTGTTGCACTTCAGTTGCACTATCCATACTTGCATTCAGTGTGGTTGTCCTAAAAGCTTGTATCTGTGTTGCCTGTGATGGTCCTTTTTGTAGCAACAGCACAAGAACTTAAAATCTACCCACGACCAGCTTGTGTTGACCCTGGAGGACCACAAGAGTGCGCTGGCTGCAGCCCAGGTCAGGGTGTGTGTGTGTGTGTGTGTGTATGTGCTTTAAGCAGGTGCAGGAGTGTGTGTTTGCTGTGCATGCATCCTACTGACCGATCAAACACTGAGCAGAGCATATCCTGTGGGAAATACAAGTCTAGTTTCACATAGCTCATGTAAGCAGCTTGCAAATGGCATGTATTTATTTCTGCAGCCATATTAGCAGGTTCCAGTAGTCACACTGTGTCTGTGTGTGTAAGCAAAGCAACGCTGTGTATCAGATTTGTAGCTGAAAGCAGCATTTCAGGACTGACCCTATTTTTGCTGCACAATATAATTATTTGCTAAACTTAGCAGAAAATATGGTGAACATGAGCTGTAAACCTACTTATCAGCATGATCTTTTGCAATATTTTGTACTTTAATAATTACTGTTATAGTTGCCCCCGGTTATACACGTATGCTAGTCAAGTATACATACTATGTGTTTAATAAAAATAAAATTATTTGCATACTTTGTATGGTGAAATTTAATTATCACAGAAGCTCAGCAAATGTGAAATATTGTATTTTTTGTACAAACATACACAAAATAATTTTGTTATTATTTTAACAAAATAATTTTATTCATGTTATTTTAGTATCATTAAGATACAATTGTAGATTTAAGAAATATTTTTTTATTAATATCATTTTTTTTCAGTTTTCATTTTAAATTTAGTTAATGTTTTATTCATTTTGTTAATTTGTGTTGTTGTCATTTTAGTAGTATATATATATATATATAAATTTTTATTTCAGTTTTAGTTGTTATTTTAGTATATCAAGTTAAATGTTAAAATGTTCAATCAAGTTAAAATGAGAAATGCTGCCTTTCCAACTAGCTAAAATAAAAAGCTGTTTATTTATTTTATTTCATTTAATATTTTTATTTTGTTTGTTTATTTATTTTATAGTATTATGTAATTAAATATTTATTACAAAACTGCTTTTTTTGATGTTTTAGTTTTAGTTGACTATAATACCTCAGTTTATTTTATAATTAACTTTTCAAAGAAAAGTTGTTTTCTGTACAAGGAACTAATTATATTAATGTAATAAATATGAGATGCAAATGATCATATGCTATACTCTTCATCTACAATGCATATAAATATATATATATAATTTTTTTTGTTTGTTTTTTTGCTGGAGTCATGATTTTGTACCGTCCCTATCCAAAAACACCAATAAATAAATAAATATGACAGTGAAAATGTAAATTCAAGATAGTGGACAAAGTGTAAGAAATGTCAAAATTATTTCATTTAATACCAAAAAGCATTGATTTTTTTTTTTGTGTAATTAAATTATATTACTTTATGTATGTATGCATGTATGTATGTATGTATTTTTATTTATTTTATTCATTTATTCATTCCTTTACACAATATTTGTGTGTGCTGTGTATTTTCATGCTTAACAACATAAACAAAACTCTATTGGCATTTACTGTAAGTTGCAACAATTAAGATGCATTTCCTTTGCTATTTGCTTGAGAAATGTTATTTGTATGGCTTCGTCTATGAGGTTCCTTGGCATTTAGGATAGGCAGCAAGTCAACTCACTAGGTTTTGATGCAGAGCTCATATGTTAACCCAGAAATTATTTTATTTTCTGCATAGCACTGCATATCAATTATGCAGCAAAAATGCTGTCAGTGTGAAAGCCGCACCTGATCCTGCTGATGCTGTTAGACTGCAGCGCCGTTTGCGTGAGCTGTGTCAAACAGGCCTAAGCCTGCATTTCAAGTCCAGTCGCATTCCACAAGGCCATAATGATCTCTTGCACACTCTCTCTTTCTTTCACTTGCTCTACAGAACTTCTTGCCCTGGTTTAATATGCAACAATGTGCATGACTCTGATAAGCCATACATGCTGTACTTCCTGTTTACTCACTCTGTCTCTGCGGCTTTGTGAAAGCAGATGTACAGATGCTCGTTAATTAGGACTGTCACTATCTGCTTTCTCAGGATGATAGGGAAGGATGCTGGGAGGCAGTGGGTTTAGCGTGTGTGTGTGTGTGTTTGCACTTGTTCTCTTTTCAAACCCACACACTCCGAGTGTTATTTTCCTTCCATATGCTTCCAGCACTTGCCATTCAACCAGAAAAGTAAAACAGGTACCCTAGTGAAGGAGAAGTGGGAGAAAAAAAGGTTAGGTTAGGATTGCGTATGAATTGAGGATGATAAAACATTAGTATGGTTTAAAAGAATGATGTTTTGACATCATACATTAGCACTGTTCGAATAACAGACCCAAATTTTTCCTGTGTAGTTCTTCCCTCTAATTTGTTTTTGCACCTATTCAAATTTTGCAATTTGAATAGGTGCAATTTTGAAACACACTATTATAAAAAAAAAATATATTAGAAATATATATATATATATATATATATATAAGTAAAATGAAAATCAGGTAGTTTTTTTGTTTTAATTAAATACATTTTGCTTTAAGTTCTAAATAAAATGCTTTTGAACATAAATATGAAATAAATACATTCAATAAATTAAAAAACATGTGGTTTTGTAGTATTTGTTCAATTAAATAAATTTTGCTTTAACTTTAAGTTATATGCTTTTTAACCCACTGTTGTATAAAAATTAAATGATTAAATATTTATTAAATGTTAAATTAAAATTAAAACCATGTCGTTTTCTAGTATTTGTTTTAAATTAAAGTTCGTTATAAGTTCTAAAAATATACTTTTGAACACATTTATTTTAAAACATTATTTTAAATGTTAATATAAATATTAAATGATTAGATATGTAAATAAATTGAATGTAGTTTTCTAGTTTTGTCAGTTAAATACAGTTTGCTTTTAGTTCTCAATGAATTATTCAAGTAATTATTTAGTTAGATTGCGCTGGCTTTCATTCTGTTCTTGGTGTTTTTCACTGATAATGGTCTTTAATCTCTCTTTCTCTTCTGCCTTATGTCAGGTTCTTGATTTCAGCTTGCTCTGTTTTGTGGCCTTTTTCAGCTAACCACCAAACATTTCACCAGTGTATATAAAGCCATAATTCTAATGTGTTATATTGTACTAATGTGGTTGGTCTCGATGTGTTCCAGGTTCAGGTGGATGAATATAAACAGCTGAAGGAAACGCTCAATAAAATGCCCAGTTTGAGACATAAATCTGCTCAGCTGGTCCAGCCGGTCCAGAACAGGAACGCAGAGGAGCCCCATCAACCCCAAGACGCTCAGCCAGAGGTATTGAAGCTGTTTACCCATCATACATTCAAAATTATTTTTTCCTTTTCTTTTTTTCAAACCACTCATGGCACTGAGATCTGTCTCATGTGGATCTCGTCAGGCGGAGAAACATGACGAGGTTCAGAAGCCTCAGTCGCAGCACAGAGAGGAGGATGGAGAAATGGGAGGAGCTGAGGAGAGGAGGAGAGAGCTGGCAGAGGAGGAGATGGAGCAGGCGGGGCTGCCACAGAAACTGGAGGAGGAGTTTGATGTGGCGCATATTGAAGCGGAGGAGGAGGAGCCACAGGCCAACCAACCAGATGAAAACGCACTGGAGAGGGAGCAACATCACGGTCATGAGGTCAGAACTCTTCCGAACACAAACATTAGACCAGAGATGCCCAAACCAGCAGGGGCATGTCTAGAGCATTTTAAATGGGGGGGCCAGTCGGGGGCACTGGCTCAAAAGAGGGTGGGTGGGTGGTGGAGGAGGTTGTGTTTGCGGAACGATGTATGTTATAATACATCGTGTACACTCACTAAACAAGTGAGAGTGAAGAGATTCGTCCTCACGCGAGCCTATCGCAAGACATCTGGTCCACCGGGTGGGGGGGCACGGGGGGTGGCCAGCCAAATTTCAGGGGGGGCCGGTGCCACCCCTGGCCACCACGTAGACACGCCCCTGCAAACCAGGGCCCACGGACCAAAGTTGTTCTGTGATGATTTGGCCAAATCTCAAAAGGTGAGTAATTTTAGATTTTTTTTTATTAACTGCCAAGGCAATATTTCTAGTTTAAAGCTTTTTATCGTAAAGTTTTTTTTTAAATTATATATTATTATTATTATTATTATTATTATTATTATTATTATTCACATTTATAGGGGATTTTTTTTTTTTTTTACATTGAAATAGAGCATATAAGTAGATTTTAATATAATGTAACATGAACTTTTGGCCAACAGTCCTCAATCATGTTTGATTTTTTGAGTTTTGGCTCTTTGTAGTAGAAAGTATGGGCACCTCTGTGTTAGACAGGTTACCAATAAACTAGCATGCCTACATCACCGTTCAAAAGTTTGGGGTCTGAAAGATTTTGTAATGGTTTAAGTCTCTTAATCTCACCAAAACTGCATTTATTATGATATTTGATATTACTATCATTTAAAATATCTGTTTTAATAGATTTTTAAATGTAATTTATTCCTGTGATCAAAGCTGAATTTTCAGCATCATTACTCCAGTCTTCAGTGTCACATGATCCTTCAGAAATCATTCTGGGTAAAACCTAGTGGTTTGAAGGATAGTACCAAAGATTGGAAAATATATATAATTACAGTTAATCAGTTTTTGGGGGCTGCACTGTGATCCTTAAATAGAGACTTTTAATGTCATCTAATGATTCTTGTTCTATATGAACTACACTGAATGTCATTTTAGTGGGAGTCTTCTGTAAATCATGGGAGAAATGTATGATAGTTATTATTTTTTGCTCAGAAAAAAATAAAACCAAACAGAACATGTTCTAGTGTACGGAAAAAAAATTAAAGCTGTATTAATTTTTTTTTGTTTTGATGCTTGAAACCTCCTTTTCATCTTTGATCCAAATGAATAATAATAAATGAAAATCAGTAAATAAATATTTATTTTATTTTTAACAAAAACAGCAAAAAACTGTTCCAGCAAGCATCTTTCTGCATTAATGGTCGTGTGTTTTACTGTTCTTTTCACAGTGATCTAAGCCAGGAAACTCTAATGGTTTATTTTATAAATCCTTTTATTTTCTGTATTTATCAGGAAAAAGGCACAGTATGAAAACATGGATGCTGATATAGTCCAGGGAGAAGAAGAGCCACAGATAGCTGAGGAGAAAGGTGACCGCTGATGTGCTTTTACATCATAGCAGTGCTACTTTTACTCAAAAAAGTGACTTCTTCAATGTTTGGTACAGTTTTATTAGCTTTGCATTATATTTTTCCATTACTCTGTCATTTGAAGAGGTGAATGTGCACCATGAGGCAGCGAGGCAAGAGGAAGCAGACCAAGTTCATCATGAAGATGAGGTGTGTTACCTTATGTTATTGTAAAAACATATACATGCACCAGTATAAACAGGGCTAGGTTTACTTTATAATGAATAAACTGCATAAACTAACTTTTCAAGGACCTTGATACATACACTGATCATTTTTCAAATATATTTGTTTTAACACAGTGTGTGTAATGATGATAAATATGTCGATCTTACAGCGACCTGTAGAAGCGGAAGTTGATCCGGAGGACGACCCCAACAACCAGGGGGAGGATGAGTTTGAGGAGGCCGAGCAGCATCAGCCCCATGAGGAAGAGGAGGAGGAGGTGGCACCCATTGGCCACCCTGACATGCACCTGGCTGTAGAGAATCGGCACCAGCCGCCCGCCGAAGAACAGCTGGTGGTAAGTGACAGAGTATATGCAGCTGGTGTTTCCAAACCAGTCGACACGATAAGTTTCTAGCACCATGTTTAAAATGCATTTGGAGCGATATTGTGATTTGACTGTGGGTGAAGATATACAAAAATAAAAAGGTATCAGAAAACAGACTTCGGAGGAGTATACATTGATTTAGTTTGAGAATTTCCCTGTTGTTGACATCTGTGGGTTATTATGCAACTGTGTGTTTTGTGCAGATGGCTGGAAACCCAGACCAACAGGAAGATGCTCTGGATGAACAGTACCAGGAAGATGGAGATGATGAGGTCGGATAGCAAGTGCAAATGCACACACAGTCCTAAAACAAATAAGAATTGTTATTTGTTCCCTAACTGTGATGGCTTTTTCTCTCCAGGCTCAGGATGAGCTGGTAGATAATCAGAAGCGTGAGGCAGTGCGGGAGCAAGAGAGAGACCCGTATAATGAGGAGAATGGAGAACAGGTACAAAAGTCAAGTGAAGTCAAGTCACCTTTATTTGTATAGCGCTTTAAACAATACAGATTGTGTCAAAGCAGCTTTACAGAGTCAAACAGGAAAATAGTTTGTCAATAATGCAAGAGGACATTTTTCAGTTAAAGTCAGTTCATTGATGATTCAGTGATCTCATCATCCAGTTCAGCTCTTTTCCAATAGTATCTGTGCAATCAAGTCGACAATATTGCCAGAAATGAAGCGTCCTCAACTAAGCAAGCCAAAGGCGACAGTGGCAAGGATCCAAAACTCCATCGGTGACAGAAATGGAGAAAAAAAAACCTTGGGAGAAACTAGGCTCAGTCGGAGGGGCAGTTCTCCTCTGGCCTGACAAAACCAGCATGGCGTGGTTTAATTCCAGGCTGCAACAAAATTCAGATAGTGCAGAGGACTCGTCTGGTTCCCATGGTTTTGTCCCGATGGCCGTCTCGTTGACCTTGGAATGAGAATGAAACAGCCTGATGTTAGCGTAGATGCCATTCTTCTTACGATATAACGAGTACATCGGGTGTTATGGGAAGTGTTCCCGGTTCCGGTTGGCAGCAGTCTTTTGTTGTAGAAGTGATTGTTCTACCATATTTGTAACAAGTAGTTGAGTTTGCAGCTTTAGCTATATGGAGTATACACAAGACTAGGTAATGATTTTAGCGAAGATTTATATTTTGAGGCTTGTTGAGAAGAGGTGTGCTGTTAGGTTTTACACCTTGCAACAATGCAAAGCAACTGCACTAAAAAAGCACACTTTAACAACCTAATAATGCTCTAGTTATATTGATTACATCACATATTATATACATTATACATGATTATATTGTATATATTTTTAACTGGATAAATATTTTATTTATAATGGGTACTAGATGTCCCACTTTGACAGTAAAGGTCTTAAAGTTTGCCAGTAATGTTTATGCATGTTTGAGGAAGAAAGTTTTTGTGTTTTAATATTTCTTCCTTTTGATTGTGTACCTTTATTCAGGTCAGTAAGATTTTTTTTTTTCTGCAAGGATGCATTAAAATGATCAAAAGAGACAGTAAATACATTCGCAGTGTTACCAGTTGTAAAATGTGAACATTCAATTCATCAAAGATTCCTGAAAGAAATATATTTTCACACAAATATTAAGCATCACAAGATTTTCAACACTGATAAAAAAAATGTTTCTTGAGCAGCAAATCAGCATATTAGAATGATTTCTGAAGGATCATGTGACAATGAAGACTATTGAAAATTCAGCTTTGCATCACAGGAATACATTACATTTTACACAAATGTATTCAAATCTAAAAGGTTTATTTTTATTATAATAATACTTCACAATAATACTTTTTTTACTGTATTTTGAGCAAATAAATGCAGCCTTGATGAGCATAAGAGACTTTAAAACATGAAAAATTCTTAACAACCCCAAAGTTTTGAACGGTGGTATATGTATATTAAATAGATTAAATACATAGCTGTCTTTTAAAGGATTGCATACAATGACATAAATTACCAACTTATTTTTAAGTATCAAAAATGTGCAATAATTTTTGTTTCTTGTCAAAAAAATTGATCTAACACACATACTCAGTCTACATTTCAATTTGCACATAATATACCTGAAAAAGTTAAGCTGTTGGTTCAAGGACAAAGATTTTATGGTCACTGGAATGTATCACAGATAGTTATGTAGTGCTTACGTCTGTACGTTTTCACTTATTCTTTTGTACAAGCTGCCGCAGTAACTGTAGCCTGCTGGCAGCGCCACAGTTGGGTGAGTCAGATCGATTGCAGCATCCTCAACAGTGTCCAGTTACTGCCATGAGTCCAGCTTCACTTTAAACATCTCTCCTCCTTTTTCACCTCATCTCTTAGATTCAGGGAATGTTTATCCACATCTGTGCACTTTTAAATGGAAAGGTCACCCAATATTAAAAATATGTCATCATTTACTCACCCTCATGTTGGTCCAACCCCATCACTTTTTTTTTTCTATTAAACAGAAATTTGAAGTGGTTAGTAGCAAGCAACCATGTTTGAATATTTTCTTTTTGTTTGTCTGTACAGGAAGAGGCCAGAGATCAGGATGTAGCGGTGAAGCAGGATAATCAGCTCGCCCAACATCCCAATGAGGAGAACTATGAAGAAGAAGAAGAGGAGGAGGAGGAAGATGGCAACGGTGATAAACCGCCCAATCGCAGGGCAGAAATGTGAGATGATTGAAAGCAAGGACAGCCAATCGCTGCCACCTGTTTGGATTGGGTTTCCCACCCCATCTTCTTAAACATTGTGCCGGAAATGGTTCTGTTGGGTTGTTCAGATGAATAGGAAACCGGTTTCACTTCCGGTCTGTGTGACTCTGAAACCGAGATGCGCCAAAACGCCCAACCACTTACAGACCAACCCCCCTGCTGTCTGCCTTTACTATACATCTGTCTGTCATTTCTTGTGAGTAACTTCTGTTTAAATGCTCTTATATCTTGCGTTTGATTTCTTCGACTGGATGACAAATCTGAAAGCACAGATTTCAACCACCAGAAACTCTTGCACTGAAAGTTTTGCCAAGTGCCTTTTTTTGATCAGTTGTGCTCCACATTCAAGATATATTCCGTCTTTGAAATAAAACAGCCTTATTTTAATAGTTAAGACCGATTCTGATGGACTGGCAGCAGTCACCAATCAGCATTGAATCCTCACCTGGCCCCACCCAAACTTGGGGTGTTAATTCATCCATCTTATCGATGAATAATGCAGGATGGGTTTGGCAAGATGCTTGGGTCAACAGGAATGTTTACATGTAATTCAAGCAGATAACTGTAGCTGTCGAAAGCTGAAGTTTTTAAAAGTTACTGTATGTGCTTATTTACCATAATTGGATTATATGCTGCCTAGACGGGAACCAAAGTCATTCAGTTAAATACTGATTTTCATCTGCTTTTCACTAAGTGCCTCACAGAGATTATATTATACTTTGTCGATTGTCTTCATTATGGAAACACATTTTTATCTTTTTTTTTTTTGGACCTGCCAACTACTATTCTAGTATAAACTAGTACTAGTATTCTACGTGCTACTGGACCTGGTCCTCTAAGTCTTATTGTCACTGTTAGTCTTTAACACAACAACAGACAGCAGAGAAATTAACGGCACATTGGAAATGAGAATTAATGAGACATAATATTCACATGTAGAATTTGAATATGTGACGAGTAAACTTGCTTAAAATGATTTCTGAATGTATGCTAAATCACTACAATATTGAAAAACTGTATTTATTTTGTCTTGTATTTACTTTGTTTTTTTTATATGTTATATAAAATGAAATAATCTTTTATCACTTTTTTATTTTCCGGGACGCATAGGATTTTTAGATTTATTAGTTGATGTGATATTGGTTAAATCAGCTTTCCTGTTAAGTGTTCAGCTTTAATACTTTATATTTAAAATAAATATCTATATGTGTATAGATTCCCCCCAGTCAAATATAACTGTTCTGAGAAATATTTTTGTGCCGTTTTCTTGGTAATGGAAATGTGAGCGGAATAAAAATTGGTGAAGAATTTAATGCTCATCCTCTTTTAATCATGCACAAAGTCTGGTGGGCACTGATGTTTTGACGTTTGGTGACCTTGAGCATAGAGGAAAAATCTCTTCGTCTAACATAAATGTAAAAATAAACCCAAAGCAAAATAACACTGCTTTCATCCTGCAGTTCCTGGAAGGCTGATGAGAAGCTGCAGTAAGTGACAGAGAGGGAATGTGTAGACTCAGGCCGCAGCTCTGCAGTTCTTCAGTCAGTCAGAAGAACAAAAGCTTCGGATGAATCAGTAAAACAAGACAATCAAAACTGTTTTCTGCTTCTCATTCTTCATAAAAAGTACAAAATTGGTTGTATTTTGTGTAGCCTGCCTGCTGTCTGTATCCTCTGCTGTTATGGACCTGATTAGTGTGTGTGTGTGTTTGTACTATATATATATATATATATATATATATATATATATGGGATATAGATGTAGATATGCATATTATACATGTGCATATGCATTATGCAGCTGTAAAGAGTCTTTTCGGAAACGCTGGGGGAACAAATGCTCTCTATAGGGAAGCAGGGGTCTGCTGACAAACAAAGCCACTTCACAGACGTAATAAGCTGTATAATTTGGTCAGATCTGTCGTTTCTCTGTTCTTCGCTTTCCCGCGTGCACAGTTTCCTCAGCTCGGGGCTCAGCGGTGCCGAAATTGACACCAAAATTAAAACAAAACACTGAAGCGCATATGAATTAGTGATCGCCGCTGAAAGGATGAGCTGAATTTCACAGGGCAATGGCGGGTCATGAATGACTATTGAATGTGTATAAAGCCGTGAACATATGCGGTGGTTATATAGCCAGTGTGCGAATTATGAAAAGACCCTTTCAACCTTGCTTTTTAAAAAACACTCAATGCGTCAGTCAGCTAAACGCAAATTATCTAAAAGATTTATGAAGGGTTTTGTGCAGTTTTATTTGTAAATCTATAATAGGCTACAGTAGGTTGCCCGGTTTGGTCAACTGGCCGATACTATCCAGTGGGCACCTTGATATAAATTTGACATCAAATACTTGATCAAGATACTGTAACATTTTAAATTCCGTTTGGATGGCAACTACTTCCAGTGGTAACTGGGTGACAATAGGAAGTAAATCCCACACTGAAATTGGTTAAATGTATATGTAGGCCATTATGTTTGACGTCAGTTTGATTAGCATATTTTACCTTTTTTTTTTACGTCAACTTTGATGTCAATTGGATGTCTTTTCAACATCAACCAACGCGTGATGTGATATCATCAGTTTTGTCTGCCGCTAACAGTGTCACATGACTGTATCTGATTTAATCTCTGCTCCTTCTTCACACCATGTCAGCCGGGCATCAAGCCATACCACCCAAGAAAGGACTGGTCTGTCAAAACAGTCCTTAGGACAAGTTTGAACTTAGTCTTTTCTCTTTTATATCTTGGCTGCTGCTGGCTTAAGTCAAATGCAGGTTTATTTTGAGCTCATGAAATGTGAAAATGTGAAGTAAAAGTACAAAAATATCTTTATTAAGTCATATAAATGTAGTTTTGTGCATTTTTTGAGCTTTTGGGTTCACTCTGACGTTACAGTATACACTCGATTCAGATCTTGGCTTCAGGTTTCAACATCAGAGAATGGTACAAAATGTGGATGCTGCCGGTGAAGAGAGAGGCACGGAATCTTCCGGTAGCTTTGGGATGCCATCCAGAACTTGGAGTTTTGGCAAACAGGAGAACACACTGCAGAGGAAACAAATCTCAAGGTTAGACTTAGATAGACAGACACAAGTGCATTCAATTATTCTCTTGGCTCTCTTTAAACAATTAGAAAGATCTATCACATCTTTGGTAAGCTCTTTTTTTAGTAAATTATGATATTATCTTCTGGCATAGCTATTAACTTGGGACATAATGTGATTTTGGAGACAGACACAGTATGGCTTTTTAGATTAATTAAAAGCTGTAATTAGCTGATTAGTTTTAATCAATCTGCTTTTTTGACAACAAGTCAGTGGTGTTCTATATACCTTTGTGAAAAAAAGTGCACTTAATTTAATTGAATGTACACTTGTAGGGCACTTCAAATCTTAAAAGTATATTAAAAAAAACTACTTTTATATAGTATAATATTAATTAAATAAAAGGCCACTTATGTATATGTAGAGAACCCTTTCATGATTGTTTCTTTACATACTTAAAGGGATACTTCACCCAAAAAATGAAAAAATACTCTTTTTAAAAGCATGCTGACACATACTTCTTTTTTTTTTACAAGGGTATAACTCTCTATTTCTCTCACCGTGAGCGGTAGTCCTCCAGAAACTGGCAGGGGTTCCGTTTGAGGGTCAGAGATCGGAGGGGCGTGCTCTTCAGCAGGGACAGTTCGCTCAGAGAGGAAATACTGTTTTCAGACAGGCACAAGTGCTGGATCTCGGGAACCTTTGGCAGCTGACGAATGGATGTCAAGTTGTTCCGGTGAAGATTCAGGATTTTACATCTATAACAAATGCACATTCTCAATCATTCTCAAATGCTGTTAGCAATTGTAATGTGCCACTAAGTTCTACTTCATATACATTGGTCCCAAAAGTGTTTGGACATTAAGTGATGCTTAAAATTGTATGAATGTCATTGCACTAGATGACAAAACAGTAAAGCAAGCAGGATAGATGTCTAATTATCTAGTGTTCAAATAGCCACTGTAATTATAAGTCTCGTTTAGAATGGCAACACCTAATTTACTAAGAAAAATGTATTTTTCATATTTAGTTTCCCCCAAAAAACGCACTACATTCCAGAAACTTCCAGAAAAAAAACATTTCCTGCAATTTTACATTTTTCCCCAAAACTTCACAGAATTACAAAATATTAGAAAATTTGCAAAGCAAATTTAATCTTTTATCAGTAAGATCTATATTCAATTAAAATAATGTGTTTAAGGCTATTTTCAAAGGAGGCATATTATGCCACTTTTTACAATATGTAATATAAGTCTCAGGTGTCCCCAGAATGTGTCTGTGAAGTTTCAGCTCAAAATACCCCACAGATCATTTATTATATCATTTTGAAAACGCCTATTTTAAGAGGAAGCAGAAACACGCTGTTTTTCGTGCCTGTTTCTTTAAATGCAAATGAGCTGCTGCTCCCCGCCCCCTTTTCCAGAATAGAGCTGCACCATTACAACTCGGACCTGCTAAAATAAAATGTATTTTATTCCTGTGATCAAAGCTGAATTTTCAGCATCATTACTCCAGTCTTCAGTGTCACATGACCCTTCAGAAATCATTCTAATATGCTGATTTGCTACTCAAGAAACATTTCTGATTATTATCAATGTTGAAAATGTTGTGCTGCTTAATATTTGTGCGGAAACTTTTTTTCAGGATTCTTTGATGAATGGAAAGTTCAAAATAACAGCATTTATTTGAAATTGGTAACATTGTGAGTATCTTTACTGTCACTTTTGATCAATTTTAATGCATCCTTGCAGAAAAAAATGTATTTTTTTTAAACATTAATATAGAGTGAATAAAGGTACACAATAAAAATGAAGAAACATTAAATACAAAAACTTTCTTCCTCAAATCATGTTTATCGCACTGAAATCATGCGTTTTAAACAATATGAGTTTAAACTTCTGATATACGGTTTTCTGAGAGCACACATCCGAAGCACACGGACAGAAAGCGGCTGTCACAGCATGTGAGTACTAAACTGAGTTCTCATTCACACACAAGTTTACATTAAAAACACACGAGTTACAAAAACAGTTGGTCTATGAAGGTAAACAGCTGGGAAATAAATTGCATGTTTATTTTAGATCTGTGTGGCAGCAGCAATATACAGTAAATAAATCAATAATTCCACTGCTGTCTTATCTCTAAGTAGTGTTCTGTGCTCGTCTGTGCAGCCAAAGGCAGAACAGTTAGCATGTTTTGCATCAAACTATCGCCATGGCATTAGAAGCTGGTACACCGTTGTCGCTTGTGAAATCAAAATGACAGCGCAGTGGGTGGAAACTTACAGATTAATGGGCGGTGTAGAATGGTGACCCCGAATGACCTCTTACCCTCTCTGACCCTGGGGTAGGCGAGCTGGTCTCCACGCACATCATGCTCCTCTAGCCAGTGCCACGAGGCAAACCTGAACCGACTGGACGGCAGCTGCATGGAACAAACACAATGACAGCATTCAGTGTTCGTAATGACAAGTGAGCTGTCAATCAAACCACACATGACGCTTCACAATCATACTGAGTTTGAACTGACTTACTGGAGTGGCAACAATGCCAGAGTCTGGAGTCAGTTCCACAGAGAAAGGAGTGTGTGTGCTTGCAGAAAAAGGCTTCCCAAAACAAAGTTACTGGGTTAATCTTTTTCACGTTTCCTTGGTTGGTAGATGCACCGGGGACCTGATAATAGCACTTAAAACCTGGAAAAGTCAGATTTTCATGATATGTCACCTTTAAAGCTGAGTTTGATGCTGGTACATAATTAACGGTTTCCTTCGTACTGAAAAATAAACTCAGCATATGAGATTACAGCACACATCTAAAGATGCACTACATGTATTTTTACACAGCCATACACATACTGTTACAAAACAACCAATGCAATATAATAGGGCAGCCTCCAAGTAAAGATCAAGAGGGAATTTGTGTTATATGGTCCCCAGATCTCCATCAAAACTCACTTACAGTGTCAGGAGCGTTTAGAATGACACTTGTGCACTAAAATGAAAACATCTGTCAGTTGTTATAGTGTAGAGGTTAGTTTGCTACCTTGGCAGTCTGACAGAGCTGAGATCTCTCAGTGCGTTATCCACCAGCTGCAGACGCTCCACCCGGATCAGTCTCCTCAGGATGCGCATGAAGTTCTCCAGCTGGTACGGATCTCCTAGTTCCTGATAAGACAAGTTCAGCACCTGGGGTCACAGAGACAGAACCGTAAACGCAATACGATGATAACCAGCTGGTTGCTAGATAGATATCTTGATAGTCTAGGGTCTGTAAGATGTTTTTGTCTTTGAAAGGCTTTTATGCTCACAAAGGCTTTATTTATTTCCTCAAAAATACAGTAAAAACAGGAATATTGTGAAATATTATTAGTTCCACAGAGAAAGGAGTGTGTGGGTCGCTTAACTCAGAGTAGTGGGAGTGAGACTTCGGAAAACTTTCACTGCTGGTGTTCACTCCAGAGGAACTAGAGCGAGAGAGACCGAAGCCATTAACTAACATTACAGAGGTCTAATGCTTAACGGATCAGATCACAGAACATTTACATTCAAATCTGAAGTATTTTAATCAGTTTTGATATATTTCTAGCTACTAGTAAATTTATAATGACGTGTAACCAACAAATTTCAATACATTTGCACAAATAGAAGTCCTTGTTTGTGTCTCAAAACCTAGTGAGCTGACTATCTAGAAGGCATTTTGGCCATCGGGAGCATGTATCATATTACATGAAAATGTAATATGTTTATAAAAATGTAAGTTGTTTACCATATAATGCACGCACCTACGCTACCCCAGTGTGCTGCCTATGTAGGGCGCTCAGCAGGTTTTGAGACACAGCCTGTGTGTAACGAGAGCCTGCGCGTCCTTACATCCGCTGGGCTGAGGTTCTGGTGTAGATTACCGTGAACTCTGCACCCTGATCCGGATTAAAGTCACCCACGACACCCGAGCACACAGGCACATTATATCAGAACATTTTAGAATTTGTGCTCACATCTTAACGCTGTTAATGGCTATTGATTATGTAGTGTGTTGTGAAACTGCTGCCTGTAAATGCACACATTTTTTACTTACCAAGTAATTACATTAATATGTAATAGTTATAACGGTAATCGTTTATATAATGTCTTGTAACTGTAACAATATCATAATAATTTGTTTTAGTCCATGAATAAATTAGCCCTCGATCTTCATTTAAGTAGGCTATTAATCTTCATTTCAGTAGTATTTCCCATGAATTATGCAAAAAAGTATATAAGCAGTCTTCCAAAGACGATTAAAGCAGACAAATCTAAATTAAAAGCCATATTTTCCTTTCGGGTCCAGATAGTGTTCAGAAATAAAACAGCAAATGCGCTTCATATTAGGAGATCAAAACTTTTCCTACCTTTCGGACATGTCCGTTGGTTCTGACAGATGACATCATTGATGTGTGTCCACTGACTGTATTATGGTAACACTGAGAAATATATATATATAATAGAATGGTGACCCCGAATGACCTCTTACCCTCTCTGACCCTGGGGCAGGCGAGCTGGTCTCCGCTGACATCTTGCTCCTCTAGCCAGTGCCACGAGGCAAACCTGAACCGACTGGACGGCAGCTTCATGGAACAAACACAATGACAGCATTCAGTGTTCGTATTGACACATGAGCTGTCAATCAAACCACACATGACGCTTCACAATCATACTGAGTTTGAACTGACTTACTGGAGTGGCAACAATGCCAGAGTCTGGAGTCAGTTCCACAGGAGTGTGTGTGTCGCTTAAATCAGAGTAGTGCGAGTGGGACTTCGGAAAACTTTCACTGCTGGTGTTCACTCCAGAGGAACTAGAGTGAGAGAGACCGAAGCCATTAACTAACATTACAGAGGCCTAATGCTTAACGGATCAGATCACAGAACATTTACATTCAAATCTGAAGTAAAAGTTTCAATATATTTCTAGCTACTAGTAAATTTATAATGAAGTGTAACCAACAAATTTCAATACATTTGCACAAATAGAGACAAGTCCTTGTTTGTGTCTCAAAACCTAGTGAGCTGACTATCTAGAAGGCGTTTTGGCCATCGGGAGCATGTATCATATTATATGAATATTTAATATGTTTATAAAAATGTAAGTTGTTTACCATATAATGCACGCACCTACGCTGCCCTAGTGTGCTGCCTATGTAGGGCGCACAGCAGGTTTTGAGACACAGCCTGTGTGTAACGAGAGCGTCCTTACATCCGCTGGGCTGAGGTTCTGGTGTAGATTACCGTGAACTCTGCACCCTGATCCGGATTAAAGTCACCCACGACACCCGAGCACACAGGCACATTATATCAGAACATTTTAGAATTTGTGCTCACATCTTAACCAATGGCTATTATAACTAATTATTATAACTAATAGTTAATGGCTATTGATTATGTAGTAGGCTATGTGTTGTGAAACTGCTGCCTGTAAATGCACACAGTTTTTACTTACCAAGTAATTACATTAATATGTAATAGTTATAACGGTAATCGTTTATATGATGTCTTATAACTGTAACAATATCATAATAATTTGTTTTAGTCCATGAATAAATTAGCCCTCGATCTTCATTTAAGTATTAATCTTCATTTCAGTAGTATTTCCCATGAATTATGCAAAAAAGTATATATAAGCAGTCTTCCAAAGACGATTAAAGCAGACAAATCTAAATTAAAAGCCATATGAGTACGGTTTTCCTTTCGGGTCCAGATAGTGTTCAGAAATAAAATAGCAAATGCCCTTCATATTAGGAGATCAAAACTTTTCCTACCTTTCGGACATGTCCGTTGGTTCTGACAGATCCCTTTGGCATTTGACACGCAGTGAAGTGAGTTATTTACAAGGAATATAGTGCGGTTTCCCATTGATGATGGATGAATAGAGTGCTAAAGTGAGACAGGTGAGTGTGAGCTCTGCGCATGCGCGCGGCAGCGTCGGTTTCACTGATCTGCGCATGGAGGTCAGTCAGGGCATCAGTGTGTCTAAGGTTGCACTTCTGTGACTTTTGGAAAATGCAGTATAGCTGTAAAATTTTAATATCGCTGTACCCCGTTTTATGCTGTATATATTTTTCATGTACCTAGTTATTGAACATGCAGCAGGCTTTGTGAGAGTACATTTTGTACTTTTGAAAAGGAAATGTCACAACACAGGACCATTTAAATAAACTGAGACAAACAAACAAACAGACAAAAATGTACACACACACACACACACACACACACATGCGCATTGGTGGGGTTTCTAATCTGCTCTCCGTCTTTATAAGTGAATCAATTAATAATTCAATCAACCCATTCGTTTACAACACTGATTGGGGCACAATACATGAGTGAGTCATTGAATCATTCACTCAAACGATTCGTTCAAACACACTGATTCATTCATTCACTGCTGTGGTTGTTCGGAATTTAGCAAGGGCTGATTCTGCTTTCACGTGATTTGGAAGTTTTTCCTTTGGCGGATCAAAAAAACCCAACTAACGGGTAATATTGTGTCTAAAGTGTAAGCAGAGCCACTGGAAGGCAAGCCTGCAACCTTTATGCAGGGAAGGAGACCAGAGGCCGTTTATTTATTTTTTGAATCAGTGGTGGAGAAACTTAACTACGCGGAATAAACAGCTTTTGTGAGGAAATAGCTTATAATTTAATGAATGGACAAACTGTTCGCTAATCTCCAACATGTTTCACACTAAACAGTACTTTCGTTGGGAACTATATGTAGATCTTACCTTGATAAAAGTTGTATTTTTAAAGAGAAGACAGAGTAGGGCATGTCGCGACAGGTAGGACTCATTTACGGCATTATTAATAAAAGATATGTAATATTGTCTAAAAATATCGATGTTTTCTTTCTTTGGTTTTCAGGTTTTACCTGAAATTAGACTTGAATTGTAATGACTATTATGTGACCATATGCCTTAGGTTGAAATAATGCATTTTAATGAATAAAGGACATGAATTATTTAAATTACTGCATTATATGGTATTTTGTTTAATGAAAATAAAATATGCGTACGATGATGATATAATACTTTTTAATGAATAACGGTAAAAATAGTTTCACAAAAAAAAAAAAGGTATTCTTTCTATGGCTTCCAGATTTCAACAAATGAATTACATTTTTAGTGACTAGTATCAGTGTTATGTATGCCCAATCATACTGTTTTTTTTTTAATGAACAGAATACAGATAGCCTTTGTCATTAAAATGTTTACAATTTTATATAAGTAATTGCATGTTTAGTTTTACTGCTTACATTTTTCTAGAAAAACAAAATTAGCAGCAACTAATTAAGAAGCCTATTATTCACAAAAGGCCAAACGAACCAACCAAACAAACATTTTTTTTAAAAATTGATGTATTTGCCTAAGCTTACTGAATTCCTTTGAGAAGCTCCACAGGTTATGACAAATGTTGTGTTTCAGAAAGGAACCGCACAGAGCTCCAGCTTCAATTAAGCAGGTCATGGCAGTGGTCATCAATCAGCAGCAGACTGTGTGCTTGGACAAGAACAGATGGTGTTCATCATGGTTTGAGTCTTATCTTCTGCAGCAGCGCATTACAGTTATGTAAGTATTTCTCTGCAAGCATCTCTCATGTTGATAAAACGTCAACTATCTTAAATGAAACGCAGTTCTTATCGTAGACACTTTGCTCTGTTTGAACACTGCTTTGAGCATCTTCTCATGCTTTGGCAAAGGACAAATATAATCTGATTGACATTTATCATGCAAAATAGAGCACCAGACACGTTTTGAATGTTACAAACCTGATTCAATATGCATTTTCCCTTTACTTTAACTTCCTATGACATTAATTTGACGAAAACTGTTGCCATCAAGTGCATCTGTTGTCAGTAAAGTAATAAAATTATTCTCTGTCTTTGAGGTGCACAATTATAGTCTTAAATAGAAGTTATTTTGGACATCAAAACCATGTGCTGACATTGTGTGAACAACAGCATAGAGGCCTACATTTCTGTATATATATTTTGCATCAACACTAAAATTGAGCACAAGACGAAAAGTTGAAGACATTCATCTTTATTTCTGAAATAGAGAATACAGCTGGTATTTTTTCATCTCTTATACCAAATGCACTCTCCCTAGGTTCGCCTGAGTCTCCATGGCAACAGCGCTCCACTACCTGTACATTCGCAACCTTTCATTAAATCAAAAACTCATATAATAAGGCATATTAGTATGTCAGCAGTACTTCAGCCATGTACAAAACCAAAAAAGAGTGAAAAGAAATGAAAACGACATTAAGTGAGTCTACATATAGAGAAGTGCTCACATCCTTGCAATAAATATCAACGTTTTTCTCTACAGAACACAATAGCAAATATACAAGATAAGAAACACAGGAAGGAATGATGCTGGTGTGGAATAAGACATGACTGAATGTGAATAGAGTAGACTTCAAATATTTACAGCTCTGTACTTCCTGGTGCTGTTAAAGCTTACGAGTATCAAAACACAATCACTTTTATCATATAAATATCCTGTTTATATAATATTTTCTTGTGTGTTTAGAAAACCATGGCAACGTGATGAGTTTGCTTTCTGTGAATGATGTTGAAAATAAGCATGAACTCGGTTGAGTGTCACATTGCGATTGCTGGGCTTTCACATGTCAAAGTAGTTGTCAAAGGGCTCAATGACTTCAGGGTTCATAACTCTGCCCATGAAGAGGATGGATCCTGTGAGAAAACAAAACAAGAACAATTATTTAAAGGATCATATGATGTGATTTCAAGTTTTCCTTTCTCTTTGGAGTGTTACAAGCTGTTTGTGAATAGATAAGATCCCTAAAGTTGCAAAGACTAAAGTCTCAAACCCAAAGAGATATTCTTTATAAAAGTTAAGACTGGTCCACGCCCCCCTAAAACGCCTCGTTTAAACACGCCCCCAC